CAAAAAAGAACGTAAGTCATTAAGCCTTAACATATCAACAACCACATCCAAATGTTCTACTTCACTCCTAAAACCCACACAACTGGAAATAACCAAAACCTCCAATGGTTAAACTGTGATAAATCTACACTAGTGGTTCACGGTCAAGAAAGAAAGTACTGGTTACAATGGATCTCAAGGCCTTGTGTGGAATAAAAAGGGCATTTTGTGTGGATTATCCACCAGGGAAGACTACTCAAACATGGTGTTAGGCCAGTGTTCCTTTTTAACCCACCCTCAACTACAGTAGGTATTTGGGATCACAAAATAGTCCTGAACCTTCCTCGGGGTGAGCTCTTAAGCATAAAAAACCCACATCTTTGGTTGACACACTTCAGTTAGCAAGAACAGTTAGCTAAAAGCAGAACTGTAGAAGTCAGAAAGCAAAGTTAGTACATTTAGGGACTTTCCCAGAATGGTGAACTCTGATGAATTAGGTCTTTGTTTTTGTTATGGGAGGTGTTACTGTCTACACGCTGAGTCTTCTAGCCTGAATAGTACTTCCATCATGGTGGCAGTTGTGTTAAGATCTGAGACCTGCTAAGGTCTGGGACCCTCTTATAATTTCAAAAGGCTTATACTGTATGCTTTCATCGTCTTACCATTCTGGTCAGGGGTTCAGAGGAATAGGGGTGGTGTAACAGATTAGCACAGGTGACATGCATGGTGATGGGACAGTTCTGGATCTTGACTCAAGTTGTGGCTGAATAACCTTACATAGGATAAAGAGATGGAGAACTATATGCACAAGTAAGTACTACATGTAAAGAAGACGTAATTAGTAAGCCAAAAAGAGTAAGGAATGTAACTGACTTTTTTGCAACCTTTTGTGAACCTATTATTATGCTTGTATTTAAATTGTACACAGACATGATGGCACACGCTTGCAATTGCAGCACTTAGGAGGTGGGGGCAGGCAGTTCATAAGTTCCAGGCCAACCTGATATACATAGTGAGATCTTATCTAAAACAAAACAAACCTTTGTTTCTTTTTAAAAAATCACATACAAACTGTATATACATATACACATTTTTTAATGCATATAAGATATTTTCAAGTATACTCACTAAAGTTAACTGTGGTAAGAACATCTGATTTTAATATATTTTTTAAAGGCTGCTATTTTGGATCTAGAAAGTCAACTCGCAGGTCATTTTTACTGCTTCCAGCAGGTGAAGAGATCACTTTCTCTTACACCCTGTGTGCCAGTAGTGGCTCAGATCAGTGGGGACAAGCAGTCACGTGGTGAACCTCTGGAACTGGGCACAAATGGGCCTTTCCTGGTTTCAAGTTGATTGTCTTGGGTATTTTGCTCCAGTAACGAAAAACTGAATCACATAAATGCTAGAACCTGCCAACATGATACTTATCACATTCCAAGCAGCGAGCCTTACACTCCTTTAATCCCTCATTGACATATAGTAGTGCGTGCATGTGTCGTATTAGATACTCATTGTTTACCATTTGTTATTCCTAATTCATTACATAGTTTGTGAGCCTCCACTTTAGCTGACTTCATGCTAGGCTCTAAGATGAAGACTGTAAATGAACAGAGCATCATCTGTTTCCTCACAAGGCTTACAGGACAGTGGCTGAGGCTGTCCCTTTAATGATGTTCCAAAGACATGCTGAAGAGTAGCTTACACTTAGTAATAACTAATATTTAGACAAGTGCAAACAAATGCTTTGAGTCCTAACCTGCGGTATAAAGGCTGGTAATGATGGTGGCGAGACACTGAGACACACTGCTCACTGAACGGAAACCGCCCATGAAAGAAGTTAAAACTATAAAGAAGAGGGACACTGGATTTACAGAAGGTTTCCTGAGAAGGATGGAGCCAGAGCATAGAACAAGAGTGGGTTTGGGGTAGAAGGGAGCTGTCTCAATTCATTCAGAAACAAAAGAAGTGAAGACAGGGACAGGCAGGGCTTAGTTTATAGATGTGAAAGGTTTGGAGAGGACCTCCAAAAATCTGGGACAATGCCACCTGCCTAGAACAAGGCAGTAACTGAAGTTTTGAAGTCTGAGTGGGATAGAAGTTTTAAATGGTTGCTTTGGGGAAGCAAGCAGAATAGAGAAGAGATGTAATTTGCCAGGCTTAGTTGACAGCCTATGTTAGGGAAGATTCTAGTCCCTTTTTAGCATGGGGGAAAAAACAAGGAGGTAGGTGTGTGTATGTGTGTGTGTGTGTCTTCCAGAGCCTTATGAGAGAGGATAAGACAGTCACTAGAGAAAGAAAAATGACTTGAGAGGAAAAGGTATTCAACAGTTCTCAAAAAAGCTGAGATAACCAGGATAGCAACGATAATGGATTTAGAAAGGGAAATGTTCTTTGTTCTTACAAAATCATGATGGCAATAGTGATATCTGCAATTTTGCATCTAATTTTGTAAAGCTGGCTATTTCTTTTAAGTCTTTTATACCTGGCAACCAACCATATACCAGGCCTTCTACAGATCATCTATTAATGAAAAGACACTGGGAGAGGGCAAGAATCACTTACTCTGGGTTAGGAGAGGCTCCAGGGAGAAATGACAGATAGCTTCTTATCTTGGCTGCTGTAAGCTGCTGTGAGCCCTTTTCTAGGTCAACTCTGCATTCATTCCTAGTCACCAAGAGTTCAGTCCCTTTATTAAGAGAAAGGAATAATTATACAATTCAATCCCTACTAAGTGTTTTAAAATTTTTTAAATTCATTTTGTACTTCATGAGAGCGTAATACTCTTTCTCACACACAGGAGTCGGGGGCAGAAGACTTGCAGGGTTTGGTTCTCTCTACATGGGACACAGGAATGGAATTCAGGCTGGGTGGCAGCCTCCTTGTGGGGAATTTTATTTTAAGTCATGCTGCTTTTGCTTATGCTGCATTTGTTTAACCGTGTGAAACTGTGATTCTTTGCTTTTCTAAAACTCTTGATGGTCTAATAAAGAGCGAGGCAGGAGCAAGGACAGGTGGGGCTGGCAAGCAGAGAGTACAAATAGAAAGAGAATCAAGAAAGGGGAGAGGAGCAATGAGAGAACAAGGGGAGGAGGACACCAAGGGCCAGTCACACAACCACCCAGCCAGCTATCGAGTAAGAGTGAAAAGAAGATATGCAGAAGTAAGAAAAGGAAAAGGACCAGAGGCAAAAAGTAGTCCGGATAATTTAAGTTAAGAAAAGTTGGCAAGAAAAAAATCCAAGCTAAGGCGGGGCATTTCTAACTAAGACTAAGCCTCCCGTGTGTAATTTATTTGGGAGGTGGATGGTGGGCCCCACGAAAAGGCAAGAGTAAAACTTCACACAACACCTCCTTGATCCCTGAACTATCTAGCTGGCCCTCCAGTTTTTTTTTTCTTAACTGTATTTTTCATTTCATGAAGGTTTGGATAAATAGAAATAAACTTGGATGGCTTGCCATGTTGATGTATGCCTGTAATCCAAGAACTTGAAAGGTCAAGGCCAAAGAATGAAGAGTTTGAGGCCAGCAGGGCTAAATATGGAGATCTTGTCTCAAACAAACAAAGGGTTGGAGAGGTAGTTCCGTGAAAGAGCACTTGCTTAGCACATGTAATGTTCTGGGTTTGATACTCACCTCCAGAAAAGCAAACAAAACAAGAAAGAAACAGCCAAAAGATGAATTGAAATCATCTTGTAGGTTGGCCAAAAACTGTTCCACTACAATACTCTTTTTGAGAAATACTATTAAACACTTGGCTACTATTATTTATTTTCTGATAATAGCTAGGTTATTAGACCTCTGGTAACATGGTTTTTCTAACATCAAACAAGAACTTCCTCAGGAAGTGTTACTGTGCCAATGATGGTGTAGCATTTAAGTGTTTTAGTTGGTGATTAACAAACTTTACTCGTTGTGGTGGTGAAAACAGAACCAGGCCATGCCAAGCATCTAGTTTGCAGCTAAACAAAGCAAGAAGAGATATTGGGTTAAAACCCTTGAGATGGGACTGGAGCCATGACTCTTACAGAGAACCCAGGTTTGGTTCCCAGCCACCTGAAGGGGCTCAGATAGACTTCTTCGTATGTGAAGGCTAAGGAAAACTTTGAGAAACCCATTCTAAATCCTTAAAACATAAGCGCCTAACAACTCTGACTCCTTGTTCCCTCCCCAGATTTGTAAAACTGCTATGAGATGATTAATCGCTTGCTCTGGTAAGCCCTGCTTATCGTTATGTTCAGGGGGAGTGGGCCAATTCCTTACATGGCTGTAAATTCTGAAGGCATGAAGTGACTGTAACCTGCCTTCAAACGCCCTCTTCCCCTTTTAGCTCACGGGAACTAAGAACAGTGACAGTTTAAAAACAAAAACTCAGCTAATTAGAATTAAATCGAATCTGGTCTCTCGGTGTTTTCGAATTCAGTAGTGTGTATTTTCATCACCTCAAAAATTCTTTTGTAAAGAGAATGAGCTTTTCATGCATTTAAGGAAGAGGCAAAGCATGTATTGGTGGGTGGGGTTCTGAGCCGACACACAAATCTGGACCACAGGTCATTTGTTCCTGGAGTAGTCTAGGTCACTGTGGCCTGCCCTTTCTCTTTCCAGACTCCCAGTTTTCCTCTGCAGTGGATAAAATCCGAAGGTCCCGAAATTATTAGCATTACTGGCTCCTTGCGGCTATAGAAAGGTCTCGTCTTCAGTTCTCAAAGGCCGTCTGCTCGTTTTCATTCGGGACAGGACACTGCTGCGCGAGCTACAGTCTCGTGAGTACCAGAGAACTCTGCACGAATGGAAATACTAACGACCCACGACCCACACAGGTCGCTTTTGGCGAAAAAATACGTCACAGGCCCGAAGCACCCACCCGGACTCGGAGCATGCGCAGAATGGCCGGCGGCCACTCAGGAACCGGGGGTCTTTTTTTTGGGTCTGGGAAAGATTCGGCTTTCTCGTCACTCTCTGGAGATGCTTGGCCGGGGCTCTCCGGGCTTAGCATTTGAAGAGAAACCAAACAAACTGTTCCCTTGTCCTTCTACAGCACATTTCCGGCTTCAACCACACACTTCCGGTCCGCTCGCCGGTTCCGGCCCCGCCCCTTACTTCCGGTTTCCTTAGGTTCCGCTGCGGCCGGCTTTGGCGTCCGCTGTGGCTGGTTCCGCCGCGCTCCAGGTGAGGGGACGCGGGATCCGGCGGCCGCCTGCCTGTGAAGGCGACGCCGCGGCTGGGGAGTGCTACCGAGTTGCATGCGCCTCGTGGTTTGTCTCGCTGACGGGCCGGGCGGGCTGGGACCGCGGCTGTCCCGCCTGGCACTCAGAGGCCCCTGTCCCGGCGCGCTGCGGGTCGTGGCCGCCGCCTTCGCATCCGGCCTTCTCACCTGATCCCAGGGCTCCCCACATCCTAGAATGTTCTGCGTCCCGCAGGCCTCATTCCTCCCTCAGGCTGGGTCTGTCTCGCCGTCCCCTCAAGGTGGTTGTTGAAGGCGTCCCAGGCAGTTTGTGTCTGGGTTTCTGCCTGCCTTCTGATGCTCTCCCGGTCCAGTCTCAGCTGTACCCCGCGCGGCGGCTGCTGGCTGGTGCCCGGGCCCCGAGCCCGCCACCGCACACTCACTCTTGCCGGGCTTAATGAAAAGTTCACACTGTTACTTTTGAAATTGCCGCCTTTAAGCTGCTTTTCGATGTGCGGTGTTGGGCGAGTCGCTGTGACTTCTTTGGCAGGTTTCTAGCCTGTACAGCGAGGGCAGCTGTTCAGGACGGTGAAGATTGAGACAGTTACGATGTTTAGCATGCCCTTCTCTCGCTACTACGGCTCATCTAGCTCCTTGCACCTTACAAAGTGCTTTCGGTGTTATCGCTTATCGAAACACGTAAATTTGAATTGACTCGTCTTAGGGTTTAGCAGGCTGAGGGACAGAGGTAAGAATTGACTAGGCAAAGCCAACACTGGATGTTGGGCAGAACTCCGACCTAAATATATATTCTTTACATATCCCATAAAAATGTGCTTCTGAGTTTGATTGCTCTTACCCCTTATTGCTCCCATCCCCAATTTGGGACGGTCTTATGTAATAATAAACTATTAGAATTGTATAAGAAAAAGTATAAAAATGCCATGCTCTTACGTCCTGCATGATTCTCAGTAGTGATGAAATAAGATTCCAAAATTAAAAAAAGAAGTTTTAGGAACTTAAGCAATGTAAGTGTGTAACCTTCGTTTTCTATGCTCGGCTTTTTAGGGCATTCACCTAAGCTTCTAGTCAGCATTTGTGGCAGAAGTTCTTTATGAAGTTGTGTTTTGTTTTGCTAAGCACATAGAGCCCATGCCGTTGGCAGATTTTTCTAAAGCTGATAACATGGAAGAGTCTGGAGGGATGGCGTGCTCGGGTTTCAGCATGCTTCAGAGACTGCAGAGCAAGACTGGTTAAGATACACATCATCAGGCCCCTTCCCCGTTCATTTCCTTTACCTTCTGATGGCACTTTCAAGAAGTCTTCTCCAGTTAGGTTGGTGCTCTTGATTAGGAACCACGAGTTAACACTCTCTCATGGTCTCCAAGCGCTACTCTGCCCATCACAGCACAAAGAAGTGGTAGATGCCTTCCTAACTCTTAGGAAGTCATTCCCATTTCTGTGTCTTACAGAAAAATAACATATATAACTATTCCAGTTTGATTCACATGCCTTTTTATTCAAGGTCATAACACTTTTGGGGGCAGATTCTGCCTAACGTGACATTTATTTGCCCAATTAGCAGGCTTGCTGCAAATTTTCTGTAGAACATTATGAACATATGAGTAAGTATAACTGACTGAAGGGAACCGCAGAAGCCAGTGTGAGTAGGGATTTCTTAATATTTTATAATGAGCACGGTGACAGACTTTCCAAGTTAGGTTTTTGCAGGTTGTCATTTAAGGTTTACCTTCTCTCGCAGTAGGTTGTGACGATTTTGTACAATCAAATGTTTTCATTACATAGGTGAAAGCTTTGCAGAATGCCAATAGAAAGCTCAGTTCCCCAACCAATGAAGGAAATGAGTTTATAAATTCATGGGACAAGCAACTTGCATTTCGTTGTTAGAATAGCAGCTGCCATGTAACATTTTTATGGTTGGATCTATATGAGCAGGTTTGTTTTTTGAAACGGAAATTTGATGGCTTTAACTCCTGTAGATCCACTTGGAGTTATTAGATACCTTTACTAGATGAGATGATCTTTGTACATCTGGTCAGTTTGTAAAACATAAAGCACATAATGGTGTATTATCTAGGACTGCTTTAAATTTATTTAATTGAGACATACAGTGCTTCCCAGGTAGAGTTAGAAATGTTAACCGATTTAATCATCCTAAGAACCTTAAGATGCAAATAGCATTCCTCTGTTCTACAGATGAGGGAAGGTATGTGCTAAGCAGAGTAACTTCAGGAGTGAAATACTAGGTGGGAGATCTCGGGTCTGACCCCAGGTAGTTTGTTCTGCGTTCAGTGCTCCCAGTGACTGCCTCTCTACCATTTAATGAACACAGATGTCTGCTGTGGAGGGGTTTGCCTCTCCAGCACAAACCAAGCAGGATGGGTAGGCAGCTCATTGTTCTTCGCTAGGTGAACAAGAGGAAGAATCTGAAAGAGTGTTAGGAAATACTAACCTTAAGCCAGAATGAGTAAGGAAATTGTAGTGTGTGGGATTCTGTGAGCCCCCTTTGCAGGAGGCACACCCATCTCCACCGTTAGACTGTACAGTAGGGTTCAGGCTGCAAGCATTTACTGTGTGTGTGCCTGTCTCCTAGGTGTTTTGTTCTGACAGAAAGCTACCACTTCATATGCGCGAAGAATGGCGCTCCCCATCATTGTGAAATGGGGTGGGCAGGAGTATTCAGTGACCACGCTTTCAGAAGATGATACTGTGCTCGATCTCAAGCAGTTCCTCAAGACCCTCACGGGAGTGCTCCCAGAGCGCCAGAAATTACTGGGACTCAAAGTTAAAGGTAATCTCCCCACTTGGAGGTTTTTACACTGGTGGTTATGGGTTTTCCTGTTTGTTATTATGGTTTATGTTTTTTTTTTAAATAAAAGAAACTTTTTTTTGAGTTTCCTAAACGTGTTTCAGTGATAAAAATAAGGATAATGAACAGTTACTTGAAAATCCCGCTACTGTTTGGATGACTTTGCTCCCTTGACAGTTGGTATTTGCTTGTTAAGTTAAGGCTTTGACACAGAAATCCCAGGTGAGAGTCACTTGTTTCTGGCATCTGTGATTTACCTTTCATTATTACTTGGGTTTGTATTCTTCCCAAATCGTCTCTTGTTTCAGAAGTGGAGATTATACTTAGTTTATTGGCACTGTCCCTGGCTAGCTTACTTGGATCTTTTATGTCATTGACAGGTGAGTTTGTGGTACTAGAGAATCTATAGTTTAGTCTTGGGCTTCAAGACTTCTAGCACGGTGCCATCTTTATCTTGAGCAATAAAACATGAGTTGATTTTGCTTAGGTAGGTCCACTGCCAGGCCAGATGGGACTCAGGGAGATAATCCTTGTATTACTAATGACTTACTATGCTAAGTACATACTCAGTAGTAGGATTATTATTTTTTTTTTTTAACTGTAAGAATGAAACAAAAGAAACCCAATACTGTCAGACCTGTTGATGTTTGGCTTTTATGTAATGGGATAGTGGAACCAGCACTTGAACTTTAGTGAGAAAACAGTCATTTGCTTGTATTGTAGGCAAACCTGCAGAAAATGATGTTAAGCTTGGAGCTCTCAAACTGAAACCAAATACTAAAATCATGATGATGGGAACTCGTGAGGAGAGCTTGGTAAATGTTTACTTTTGTTACCATATGTCCTTTTGACGGTGTTACAATAGACACTGTACTGTTATAGTTTTAATTTAATGTGTTAAAACTTTCCATCTCATGATGGGTGAAAAATGAGTGCACGATGAATGTGGTATTAACTCAGCAGAGCTAGGTAGTGGGGACCTTCTTAGTATATAGTTAGTTGTAAGTATATATAGCCTATGTGTAAAATTTAATATGTCAGATCTGCCCAGGGGGCCTACAGAACAAGTAATTAACAGTGGAGATTTTCCCACACTCTGCTTGAGCTGAGATTGCCAACATGTTTGCTTGTTACGGCGAAACACAGCTTTCCTGTCTTAATAGGAAGACGTCTTATGCCCTCCTCCTGACAATGATGATGTCATCAACGACTTTGACATTGAAGATGAAATAGTTGAAGTAGAAAATAGGTAAGTGCTCTTGGCCTTCAAAGAGATTGTTATGTGCGAAGAGAGGGGGTTTTCATCTGATCTTACCTTTTCTGTTAGGGAAGAAAACTTACTGAAGATCTCTCGCAGAGTCAAGGAGTACAAAGTGGAAGTGCTGAACCCTCCCAGGGAAGGGAAGAAGCTTCTGGTGCTGGATGTCGATTATACGTTATTTGGTGAGTCCGTTAAGGTACACTCTGCTGTTCTTTTACCTGTAACAGTTTTCCTCCCGGCAACTCCATGTCCACACGAAGTATTTGAAAGCGTCCTTATTGTTACAAAAATAAATCATTCATCTAGGAAATATAGATAAGCGAAGAAGGCATTACCTATAATTTTAAGAGCCAAAGATGGCCGCTTTTAATGTTTTAATTTTTCTTTTTAGTGTGTTTGTGTGTTTCTTTTTTGTTATTGTTAATTGCTTTGAATTAAATATATATTGTGCTGGCTGGTTTTTATGCCAATTTGACTCAAGCCAGGATTGTCTGGGAGAAGGAATCTTAATTAAAACAAAAATACCTCCATACAGTTGGCCCGTAAGCAGCCCTGTGGTGCGTTTGATGGGTGATTGATCTGGAAGGGCCCAATTTACTCTGGGTGGTGCCTTCTCTGGACTCGTGGTCCTGGGTGCTATAATAGGCAGGCTGAATAAACTGTGGGAGCAGAACAGCACGTGGTGTTCCTCCATGGCTTCTGCTTCAGTTCCTGCCTTGAGTTCCTGCTCTGCCTGCTCTCCATATAGAACTGTGACCTGAGAGCCATAGGAGCTTTGTGGTCATAGTGGTTTATCACCAGAAGAAACCCCGACCAAGCCACATGCTTAAAAATATTTGTATACACACATAGGTTATTTGTGGGGGCAAAGGATGTTATAATTTAACCAACTTAACCCTGATTGACACTTTAATGAGGACTATTTTAAAAAATAGTGTTTTTATTTTACCCTTGTTTTCTTTTTAAATATATTCAGGTTCTTTTCTTAAATTTAAAATTAGCCATGTCAATTGAAAAACTAAAAACATTTGTTTCATCTTCTAGTATTGGCAATAAATATATACTTTCTGATAGTGAAGTTTTCTTGCTTGTAACCCTGAGCATGTGTTATAACTTAATGTGCACTTTGCTTAAGAATTAATCAACTGATTGCACTTGTTGTGCAGTGATGTTGTTGATTTTCTTAGGATGATGAGTATATGTGAGAATGGGGGGCTTTGCTTACTGTTCGTTATTGAGAAAAATACTCAAACTAGATGAAAAAAATACAGTGGTCCATTTAAGTTTGAATTGTCAGTGTCGCTCGTTGCATGTTATATAGAATTGATCCTTTGACACTGCAGTTCAAGGGCGTTGAATTCTGTCCCTTGCAAAAACATCCGCTCATCCTCAATGTCCTTCAGCCTCAAGCTTTGTGCAGTTGTGTGTATTCTATCCCATGACAGGTTACTTTTTTATAATAACTTCATTCTGCCCAGTATTTGTCCCTGATAATAAACTAATAATTGTTTTTATGATCCACTTTTTTTTTTTTTTTTAGATCATAGGTCTTGTGCAGAGACTGGGGTAGAGTTAATGAGACCCTATCTTCATGAATTTCTAACATCTGCATATGAAGATTATGACATTGTTATTTGGTGTAAGCCTAATTTTTTTAATTAGTTTTCCATGGAAATAAGTTTGTTACTTATATTATTTTACTGTACAAAACACTACTAGAAAAGATTTGTTTAAATGTGAATGTTTTTTTAAGTGAATTTCTAAAATGATGTTTGACTTCCTTACGTCATTATATAAAGTACATGTATATTTTCTTAATAGTAAGAAGATAGTTGAGTATAGGACAAGAATGGGCCATTATGTTAGAATAAAAGTGCTTATTCATTTGTTTTTTGCAGTGCTGGGACTTGAACTAGGGACCCTGCGCAGGCTAGAGACACTCTGCCACTGAGCTCTATCCCCAGTCCTTAATCCATAATACCTCCTCTTTTTTTTCTCACTCTAGTTTCAAAAATATTTGGAGACAGACATTTCTTTACAAAAATATCTTAGCAATGTAGCTGGACAGGAGTAAAGAAGAGTGTGAATTGCTAAGGGAAAGTTAATACATGGCAGAAGCAGTGTTTCTGATGTTGAGTTTGTAGACACATGATAGATCATAAGTTTGCTACAGAGCAGAAGCTTGCTGTATTAAGGTCACACTTTGAGTTCGGTTGACATTTGTGTTTCTGTTTCTTGGTAAATGAAGCAGACATCCCACCCCTATGCAGACATTGAAATTACTTCTTGGCAGTTTCATAATCAGAGAGTTACCATGACCGGAATAAGATTCCATCAAATATAAAAGTTTCCCATGTAATTGTAGTGGGTATTTGATGAGAAGCCGGATCGTTGGTTGCAGTCTGTAAGCTTTCTTTGTCCTTCCCTTGTAATGGAGAGTATATCCCTTGCGCACTGACGCTTAGTTCACAGCTGGTAAGATTAAAAACAAGGGAAAGTGTGGTAATTTCATTTTTGAAGTTGGGAGAAGAGAGCTAACTGAAGCAATTTTTTTCCCACCTGATATGACATCAGAGAAAAGAACTTAAACATTAGTGTTTAGAGAACTTTTCATATCATATATTTAAAATAAGTTATTGGTAAATTATTTTATGGCTGTAGGTTGAAAAGGGATACTTACTTTAGAGCTAAATATGCTAGGAAGTGGTGTCCTTTGTGGAGTCAGGCAGGTCATTTAATCTCTGTGAGCCTCCCTGTCTTCACCTGGACGTAGTACTTTGACCTATATTTTGGGTGGAGGTCTGGTCACTAGCACCGTCGCTAACACACAGTGATGCCTTAACAGTGAAGAGCTCCTTACTCTGTGTCTCCTCGCTTTTCATCCGGAAATCACTTGTACAGAACAGCTGCTAGTTAACTTTTCTTTACGATTGTTTTCATTGGAAATGCGACATTCTCTAAACTTGGAGTTTTACCGACCAATTCTGCACGTAAAGCGTAAGCTGAGACCAGGAGAGCATGGAAAGATGACGATTGGCCTTTGTGTCAGTGATTGTGTTGGTGCAGACATGTAATGTAACGTGGGGGACTTCTTACATTTGTCTCAGGTTTAAGATGCTGGGCTTAAGAAGCGTCATTTGCTAAGCCTGACATAGCTGGCTAGTCTTCCACACAGACTTTTGACACAAACCATAAGTATGTTTATGCTGACACCATAAGTGCTTATGCATTTCCTGGATCCGCTGCCAGAGAAAGTTGAGATTCACACCTCTCAAATTACTTTGGAATGAATAAAGAATAGTGGCAAGGCTGGTTTAAATGGAGTTTGGGTTTTACTTATCGTGGTTACCTCTGTGGTTTAAGTATTATTCTTTTTAGAAGACACACTAATGTAAGTCTATTAGGGACCATTATTTATGATGTTTTAAAAGTTGTGGTCTTGCTTAGAAAGTTTATTTATTCAGAAAAATTCTTTTTAAAAAATGAAACTCAAACTTTTCATATGTATTGTATTATTCCTCATGTTTTAGCTGCAACAAATATGAAGTGGATTGAAGCTAAAATGAAAGTAAGTGTTAGAAACAAGCCATTTCACCATCTTCTAAAATCACATTAGACAGACGAAAGATTCTAAGACTGAACCAATTCCATTTTTACTGGCTGTCTTTTAATAGCTACAGAATGCCAGTGTTGGGAGTAGGGGTGTGTTTGAGCCTGCTTAATGATGGGTTGATCTGAATGCCTAAGCTGGTTCCAAGGAAAAGCTAAGCCCCGTTTTTACCTCCCTTTTACTCCAGTAATGTTTCTTTGCCCTTTGCTCTGGTGTGCGATATTGATGAGGCGATTCATTCTAAAATGGGCAGTTAGGAATGAATCCACTTCTGATTTGCTCACCAACACAATTCAACAAAACAAATATTTCCCAGTTGTATAGCAGAATGTGGCTGCAATTGCTGTAGAAAATTAAATTGACAGTTTGAGAAATTGCAGATAGAATGTTCAGACAGCCTGGGATTTTCCACTCCTGCATTTTAACCTCATGAACGTTTGTGTTACAGGAACTGGGAGTGAGCACGAATGCCAATTATAAGATTACCTTCATGCTGGACAGTGCTGCCATGATAACGGTGCACACGCCGAGGAGGGGGCTCATCGATGTAAGAGCTCCTGTTGCTTTTGTTAAAGATGAGTGTATTTTTTTGTATTTAAACTTTCAGAAAAGAAAAAAAAAAGTAGAATTTAGAATTTCACCTGAACAGATCATAAAGTGGCAGCAGAATTTTGACAAAGACATTATATTTTAAAAGATTTGCAACACTCAGAAGGCAGGCAGATCTTTCTGAGTTCAAGGTCAAGCATGGTCAACATAGTTCCAGACCGGTGAGAAGTCAGGGCTCCATAATGGGACCCTGTCTCAAAAATATAAACTAAATGAATTAACTTAAAACATTGAAGTGAAATCTAATGATGCAAGCAAAGCTGTTGAAAGGCTGTCTAGAAAGGAACTGTGTGAAGCCTAGCTGTAGTGGCGGTGAAGAACTGCCACACAGGTAGAAGAGAGAAACTGAATATTATCAGGAAGTGTGCTGGAAAGAAACCAGAGTGTACTCACACTTCTCTAGAAGAAACTGATGTAGAATACATGGACCAGGTTACATCCTAGAAAACAACAGCAGGACATCAGAGAAGAGGACTGGACTTTAAAAATGAGGAATTTTGATGTGGCTTACTCAAGTGACTGCTCCTACACAGCCCAGCCTCAGGCACAGCTAGTAATAAAGACGAGGGGAATGTTGTCCCTGTATTAGGAAGGAAGAGAGCTGGTGGTAAAGTGTAAATAGTGGCCTGCATGCACGAGGACTTCCTCAGTGCAAGAGCTACTCACACACCAGGAGAGATGTGTAATTATGACCTGCTGCTTGCCTTCTGCGGTCTAAGTGTTGTGGAGCTCAGGAAACCTAAGCCCAGCATGGCTGCAGCAGTGGGGCATCAGAGGACAGCTCACTCCCTGTGGTTGGGCGTGGAGAGCTGAGATTGGTGCGTGCGGTGCAATCTTCTTCCTCCTTTGATGCAGGAATGGTTAAGGACTTCAAATAAAGGCAGTCTTAATGATGTTTGCAGGCCAATGGGAATGTGTACTTTGTGTACTCTAGGATTCCCTTAACTTAGTGAACTTTCTGAGGCTGGTTTTTTATTGAAAAAAACAAAAAGCGAAGCCTGGAGGTGAATGGACTAGACTTTCTAGTTGTTACCTATCATGTTAACACATGATTTGAAATTTTCCTTTGCATATTTCTTTGTTTTCAGATTATTCTGTGGTCATCAATATTAGTCCATGTTTGGGAGAACAAAGTGTGCTAGACTTGAGATGTAGGATGTCTAGTCCTGGTATCTGAACAGTCTCTTCATCAAACCTGAGACAAGTTCCCTGCAAACCCCTAGAGTTTGACTTACTGTGTTAGTTTCTATATTCTTGATTCAAAAATTGGGCAGTTGTGTTTCAGGAATAAACAAATAGTAGAAAAAATTTAGGTGAAAAAATGTTAAAATAGTATTCCTCGGAAGAAAGCATTGTCTTGGTGTTAAGCCGAGCGCTCCTCCAGCGTTCTCTCCTCGCTGCTGTTCACCTCACCCATCGACTCAGTTCACTGAGTGGAAGTCCTGCCACTACCTAGGAAGAGTCTGCTTTTTAGAAATGGATGTATTTTAGGCATTTTCTGAATGCTTTGTTCATTCATATTTATTCTCCAAAATAAAAGGTTCGTAGTTGGTGAACGCCTCCTCCTAGCACAGTGATTCTCAGCCCTTTCACTGGGGTTGCCTAAGACCATCAGAGGAGACAGACATTACAATATGATTCATAACAGCAAAATTACAGTTATAAAGGAGCAGTGAAATTTATTTTATGGTTCGGATCACCACAGCATGAGAAACTGTATTAAAGGGTCCCAGCATTAGGAAGGTTGAGAACCACTGCTGTAGGAAGATATTACTCCACCTCATGAATAGCTGGTGAATGGTGATGCTTCTATATGGAAGCGTTGTCGTCAGTTTGGGTTTTGAGAGACTTTTGTAAACTATGTGAGTATCAGCAGATAGGTCTGTAGCATTTTGTCCCTTTGTAGTCCTGGATTAGGAATTCTGAAACAAAACCAGGAATTAAATTCTGGTGCCTTTGAAGTTTATGGATCAAATGTCCTAGAAATCAGGCACTGGTGCAGTGACTTAAAGACAAAATCACTGGGACACAGTGGCATCCACCTCTGTTCCAGTACGCAGGAGGCTGAGACTGGAGGAATATGAGTTCAAGGCCAGCCTAGGCTGCAGAGTAGGGCTCTGAAATGGCAAAAACAAAGAAATACAACAAGAAAAACCATATATATTTGCAATAAGCTATCGAACTTATTAGTTGAAAGAGCCTAGGGTTTTCCTCACTGAGATGTCCGTAGTTTGAAAGATCTTGAGAGAAGCGGGTCTCTATTAGCCCAGAAAACACCTATGTCTTTTGCCCTAGAATCTTCATGTGAATATTGTGTAAAGTTTTATGGTAGGGCTAGATGTGGTAGACATGCACAAGCCATTGAACATTGTAGTCTCATGTGGTTCCTAGTGGTCATTCAGTACAGCCCTACAGGTAGGAAGAAGCTTGTTCTGCTTTTAGGGGTGAGCTGTTAACTAACATTGAGTAAATATAAACCTTTATTTTAAGGTGAAGCCTCTTGGTGTCATTTGGGGAAAGTTTTCTGAGTTCTACAGCAAAAAGAACACCATTATGTTTGATGACATAGGAAGAAATTTTCTAATGAATCCACAGAACGGACTGAAGGTAAGACAGCTTTACTTGCTCTAGGTTCATGTAACCTGAGTGTGGAGTGTAATGGACTTTTGGATGATCTTTCAGACCAGGAGTGTTAAAATGGGCCCTGTAAGATAACAAAGCAGAAAACTTCCTGTTACCTAGTATTTTTACTGTGTCCTGTCTTTGTGTAGATACTTAATCATTGTGTTACAACTGTCTACAGTGTTTAGCACAGTAACATGCTGTGGTTTTGTGGACTGGGAGCAAGCAGTAGGCTTTACCATTGGACTTAGGTGTGCAGTCAGATGAAGTATATTCTGTGGTATTCAAACAGTGGTGAATCCATCTCATGTATCCCAGGAAAGGACATGTTCAGTGATGCATGTACACACATACACAACACAATTTATCAATTTGCTTGCTTTTATTTTGTGTGTATGACTGTTTGCCAGATGTATATATGTTTGTCACTGTGTGTACCCACAGATTCCAGGAGAGGGTGTCAGATTGCTGAACTGGAGTTACACATGGTTGTGAGGGTTTTGGATTCTTTTTTTTTTTTTAAGACTTATTTATTTATTATGTATAGAGCATTCCTTCCCTGTATGCCTGCAGGCCAGAAGAGGGCACCAGATGTCATTACAGATGGCTGTGAGCCACCATGTGGTTGCTGGGAATTGAACTCAGGACCTCTGGAAGAGCAGTCGGTGCTCTTAACCTCTGAGCCATCTCTCCAGCCCCCGGTTTTGGATTCTTTTAAGTTAAGCACAGATCTTAGAATTATCAGGCACAAGTGATAGAAGGAACCACATATGTTTTGTTTCCCTTTCTTAATCCTAGGATGAAAAGTTAAGACTTACTAAAAATTGTGATTGTGATGGGTATTTGACAGAATTTGGACAGAGTCTATGTGACTTGTTTCCTGAGTCAGTGATAATCTTAGCATGAGTCACTCAACATCTGTGTAGGAGTTACAGAGTCACTTCATCCTGGCAGCAGAGAATGGTGAAGCTTGAATGCTTCTAATGCCCGTGGCTGCTAGCACATCTGCGCAGTATGAGCAGAGATGCTCTGACAGTAGTGAGGATGTCTCCAGGTGAAGTGGACATCCTGTTGTAAGAGGTTTCCCTCTGTCCTGAACTCAGCCAGCCAGGATCTTGATAAAGACAAGGGATGGGGACTTGTAGAAAGTAGGTCCTGGAAGCCCTTACAGAGTTTCGGGTTGAGTTGGTTTAGTGCATAGTGCAAGTGTCAGAATGGTGATAGAAGCCTGGATTGTAGCACAGATTCAACCTATTGCCTTGGAAGAGAAGCAAGTGTGTTCACTCTGTACCCTGTCTTCTAATATTCTGAAACATCCCAAACATTTCATTTAAAATAAGTCATACTTATTTTATGTAAAGATAAGTCATACTTCACTTTCTCACTGTGTAAATCAAGATCCAGTCTCTTCTGTTTTCCTGACTTTTATAATTTGTAGTACTTTTTAAGTGAAGATATAAAATATATCAACCTTATAATTTGGGAGTACATGACTGCCCTTTTATGGAAACTGATCTTTATACATAAATGACAAAGTGAAATGTTTATGGCAAAATGTGGCAGAAAACTGGTATTAATGTGTAATAATCTCAGCATAATGGGGCCTGCACAATGTCAGTTCAACCCTCAGGAAGCACATAGTGGAGGGAGAGAACAGGCTTTTGCAGATGCACATGGCACACACAGGCAAGCACCCAGCAAAGCAACAAGTGTAGACAGTGGGTAGAGGCGTAGAGGAATGCCACAGGAGAGATGACTCCACTGTGCTTAGGTCAAGCTCATATCTGTATAGAGTAGGTAGTGTAAATGTATCAGTTAGTGGGAGCCACTCAGATGACAGAAGGAAATAAAATGTGAGCAGCATACAAGTAGCCATGCAGATCCCAGTGCTGGAGGAGGCCAGTGTCCAATTTAGGCTGAAGACCGAAGAGCTTAAACCTGTACCCAAGACTTCCATAAACTTAGTTACTATGAGTCATTTGCATGGTATTTTAGCCTCAGTACCTGACTGAAAGGTTGGAGTAGCATGACCTTTGTTAACTTTCCTGCCACAACGTAAGGTTTGTTTGTTTTTTGACAGATAAGGCCTTTCATGAAAGCGCACCTGAATCGAGATAAAGACAAAGAGCTGGTGAAGCTCACTCAGTATCTCAAAGAGATAGCCAAGCTGGACGATTTCCTGGAGCTGAATCACAAGTACTGGGAAAGGTAGATGCAAACCCTCATTGCCTGTTTACACCAGTGGGGAAAGCATGCTGGCATTGCCAAACTGCCCTTATTTTATTTTTGGTTTTCAAGGTAGTGTATCCCTAACTCTCCTGGAACTTGGTTTGTAGACCAGGCTGGCCTTGAACTCACAGATTTCTGTTTGTCTCTGCCTCTTTAGTGTTGGGATTAAAGGCATGCACACTACTCGGCCATCCCCTTAATTTTTTTTATATAAAAAGTAGGAGAATTCTAAAAATATTTTTTTCTATTGGCATTTCCTCAAAAGTATTTCTTCTAGAATGGAAAAGGAAAATGTACATTTACACAATGGAGTGCTACACAGCAGAAAAAAATAATGACATCTTGAGATTTGCAGGCAAATGGATGGATCTAGAAAACATCATATTGAGTGAGGTAACTCAGACCCAGGAAGACAAATATAATATGTACTCACTCGTTAGTGGCTTTTAGACAAAGAAAACCAGCCTACAAATCACAATCCCAGAGAACCTAGACAACAGTGAGGACCCTAAGAGAGACATACATGGATCTAATGTACCTGGGAAGTAGAAAAAGACAAGATCTTCTGAGTAAATTGGGAGCATGGGGACCATGGGAGAGGGTTGAAGGGGAGGGGAGAGGCAGGAAGGGGATCAGAGAAAAATGTATAACTCAATAAAATTAATTAAAAAATGGAAAAAAGTATTTCTTCTAACCCCTACCTTATTCATAATCAATCCCACATTCCTTCAGGTCTTTAATGTTGCAATAGTGGGAACTTGAGAGGCTGATGAGTTGCTTTGTGACAGAAGCAGGCCATCCTCTGAATTCCCTGCGCTCCTCCCACTGTGGTTCTTTAAGGCATGGTCTCTTTGTACCCTGTGCTGGCTTCACATTTTTGGTCCTCCCGTCTCAGCCTCCCAGCAGCTGGGCTGCATATGGGACTGAGTAGGAGTTGACCACTACTATGCTCTAAGTTGTTCAGCACAACACTGTTTCGAATTACAAGAAACTTGAGTGTATAGCAGCAGGAATAGAGAGCAGAACGACTGCTTATGACTTCTCTTTTTAAAGATTACCGTTTGGCGGAGGCTTCTGGGCTCTTTCTCTGAGTATAGCCATACAGATTGCAATCAACATCAAGTTGACACAGCACGGAAAGCCTAGGGACATGTGAGGGTTTTGTGTCCTATAAGTAAGGCTGCTTTAAAATGAGACCTGTAAAGATCTGGTGCTGGTAAAAACACCAAAAGAAACCCCTGGTGGGCACTTTGCTCCTTCATATTCCACTTTTGGCTTCTTACATTACTGACATATAACTAGTGATGGTAGTTTCTTAATATGAGAAAGGGTTCGAAATTTTAATCTAGCAGCAGATCCTAGTAAAGAATATGAGGAAACAGTTGATCACTTGGTAAAATACCCTTATAGTCTTTTCTTTTTATAGTGCTAGGTATTGAACCTAAGGTTACATGTATGCTATTGTTGGCACTGTACCTCTTAGCTGCAGCCCCAGCCTTCTTTACACTCCTGAGCACAGTCCCTTTTTAAAAACATATTTTGTGTTTATATGTGTATGTGTGCCCTGCCTCCTATAGTATCTTTTATTCCATTATCTTTATGCAGGAAAAAAAATCTGATGTTTAGATGAAGTCTGAGTTAATTAGAAATCACAATGCTATTTAACATTGGAAAAGGCAGTGTACTGTGGTATATAATGTTTGTAACTTCCAAAGGCTAATTGTGAATCTGAGCAGCCTGACTTGGCAAATTACTTAACTTTTGAACCTGAGAAATAGGAGGAAGTTCTAGTAGAAATTCATTCTGCAGCTCCTGTGAAGGTTAAAGTCAACACGTGCTTGCAACCACTCTGAGCATGGGGCACACAACAGTTTGTAATAGCTAGTAACTGTCCTCTTGAAAGGCCCATAAGTCTTTGGCAGGAGAGGCCGATTGTTTTCATGATTTTACCTGATCCAGTGTTTATTCCATTTCTTGCAGGTATCTATCAAAGAAGCAAGGACAGTAGATATGGTAGTTACATTCACAGTTGGAGATCCTTGAGATCCGTGGACATTTGTTTCTTTGCTAGGCATTACCATGATTGTGTTGGACACTGAAGCAGATGCCAGGCTGCCTAGCTGTGGTCTTCCAATGCTGTGTAAATTTTATTTTGTATTTTTTTGAAGATCGTAACAAAGTGCTAAAAAAAAAAAAAGTTCTCTTCTCTCTGTTTATTTACTCCTGAAGAAAATTTTCTCTGGCATTGATTATTGAGGTGTTTTTCCAAACCCTCTAAAAAATGGAAAACAGAAAATGAAATGAAAGGTGGGGAAAATACATCCACCGGTATCATCTGTGACTTTAAAAACTAGTTTTGTCTTACATTTTGTGTCTCCTTGCCTGAGTCTGAGACCAAACCTATCTTCAAACTAGCTAGTGCTTTCCCCTTTCAACCAAAAGCAAAACCAAAAAGCTCAAACAAGCTTTTAAATAGCAAGTTTGTTGTGCTGAAAACTCCCTAGAGTTGTTCTTCCTTATCACAGAGTTCCTCTTCCTACTTCGAAGCTGGAGTTGTCAGTGTTCTTTAAGAATGGAGGACATCTGCATGATAAGACTATGCCCTCGAAGGCAGGTCAACAAACAAACTGAAATTACACTAGAGGACAAGAGTAGGCGTCCTTTGGGTGGCTAAGTAGAAGCACTTTTGCCTAAAACTGTAGTCCTGAGCACAGCTTACAGCAGTAGGAAAAGGCACATTCACCAGCTCCTCTCTCTGAAGCATGGATAGCATCTGCCTACTCCAGCTGTGCATCATTGCCAACTACTAACCCCGTTGCAGCAAACTTTTCTGGCCATAAGATTAAAAATACCTGTTACTTGCAATGCTTAAGCCTGCAGATATGTAATGTGACCACTGTTTTGTGTTGACAGTATTGCTTTATACAGTTCTTGTATTTGAAGGGAATTACTCCTTTTAAATGAACATGGTGTACATTGTTCTTACAGGACTATTTCAGTGGTGTAAATAATAAATATCTTTTCTTAAAATACTGGCTATCTGTTCTGTAATGTCTCAAATATTTTTTTTTCCTTTTTTTCCTCTTTGTGAAATCACTGACCATGTTCAGGCAAGGTCCTCTGTATATTAAATGTGAGCCTGGTGTACAGAGGCAGGAAGATTCAGAGTTGTAGGCCCACTGCAGAATAAGTGTGTATATATCACTGGCCTTTCAAAATTATCTGAGCAGCTAATTAGATGAGAAATAATTTATTAAAATGTTTCCTAAATGTATGGTATTTTTTTAAAAAAAGTAATTAAGGGTTGGAGAGATGGATGGCTCAGCAGTTGAGAGCACCACCTGCTCTTCCAAAGGTCCTGAGTTCAATTCCAGCAACCACATGGTGGCTCACAACCATCTGTAATGACATCTGGTGGTGGAGAATTTTTAAAAAGTATTTATGTGTATGTGTGCACCTATATGATTTCAGTTGCTTTCTACCTTATTTGTTGAGACTGGATCTCGCTGATTGGACAGGATGTGCCTCTTTGCCTCCACATTATAGTCTTGTTTGTGTTGCTTGGCTTTTCTGGTGGGGATGTGGGTGTGTTCTGTGTGGGTGCATGGATGCATGTGGAGGCTAGAGGCTGACATTGGCCGTTCTCCTGCGTAGCTCTCCACTTTATTTACTCCAGGCAGGGGCTCTTGCTGAACCAAGCAAAACAACCTAAGTTTGCCAGTGGGATTCCCTGTCTATCCTCTGAGTGCCGGGATTACAGGCTTTGCCATGTCTTGTGTGTAGGTATTAGAGATCTCATACTCAGATGGCAAGCACTTTCCCAATGAGCCATTTCCCCAGTTCCTTACCTAGATCTTTCATGAGTGCTGGGGATCGGAACACAGGTCCTCCTATGTCTATGCAGGTCCTTTTTTGCACTGAGTCATCTCCCCAGTCCTAGACTCGGACATTTTAAGAACATTTCATTGGTTCTTTTCATTTTCCTTATGCAATGAGTTTATTATTCCAAATAGGAATGGGGAAGGGCCTTATCTTTTCAAGTGAGCTGAACATGAAAGATAACATAGGTCAGGGAAAAACATTCTTAACAGCGCTCAACATTTAACCAGGTGGGTTTTTTTTTTAAATTTATTTATTAAGGATTTCTGCCTCCTCCCCACAACCGCTTCCCATTTCCCTCCCCCTCCCCCGATCAAGTCCCCCCCCCCCCCCTCATCTGCTTGAAGAGCAATCAGGGTTCCCTGACCTGTGGGAAGCCCAAGGACTGCCCACCTCTATCCAGGTCTCCTAAGGTGAGCATCCAAACTGCCTAGGCTCCCCCAAAGCCAGTACGTGCAGTAGGATCAAAAACCCACTGCCATTGTTCTTGAGTCCTCAGTATTCCTCATTGTCCGCTATGTTCAGAAAAAGCATGGGATAAAACCAGGTGGGTTTTTGACATACATTTCCTACCAGTAGGTGGCACCCAAACCAAAGTTTACTAGCCATTCTGTTACTAAGGGCTGAGGCTGTTTGGGAGCATGAATTTTGTGTGATTAACACTTTGATGGGGTATGAGAACCTTTATACCTTTTAACTCTTAGGATTTATGGCAGTGACATCCCTGTGATACACAACTGACAGTCAACAGAGTATCTGATAAAACTCACCAGGCATAATTCCAAGCTTAAGATAAACATTATCTAGTGATACGTATTTAGCCAAACAACTACATAGAATCATGAAATCTCACCGTCAAAGAGTGGTTTGAGACCTTTGGGTTTGCACTAGAACGCACTGGGATGTTGAATTGTATCTTTAGTAGCAGTCAGTCCAATAGGTGAAGGATCAGCAGGTGAATAGCAAGCAACTGAAGCATGTCCAGTTATGGAAATAAAGTCGGCTTCTGTGGGAGTAGAGCTATGGAGAGGTAAGAGACTAGAGAGGCTATGCAAAAAATATTTTTTAGATAGTGCCGTTTAGTTGTCGATATTAATATTGTGGTTCTCAAACTCTCCCATGAAACTCATGTGTTGGACTCCGGTGCTCAGAGGTAGGGCCTTGGGAGGGCAATTGGACCACAAGGGCACTGATCTCATAAATAGATAGGGCCGTAGGTTGCTAGACACGGGAGCTGGGTTTTGCTGCAGAAGTGAGCTCTCTTTGCTTCCTGCCTACCCAGGTAAGCCGCTTGCTTCACCTCATCTCTGTCAAATGTCTAAAGCAATAGAGCCAGCTGGCCACTAACTGAAACCTCCAGTCAAACTAAACATTTCCTTCTTGTAACTTGTTTATCTGTAAATGGAAGTTTCTGCCTGCCCAGTGAGCAGCCATTCAGTCCCAGAGAAACACACAGAGGCTTATATTAATTATAAACTGTTTGGCCTATTGCTCAAGCTTATTGCTATCTAGCTCTTATGACTTAAGTTCACCCATAATTCTTGTCTATATTTAAACATATGGCTTGGTACCTTTTCTCAGTAAGGCATTCTCTTCTTGCTTCCTCTGTATCTAGCTGGTGACTGACTCTGCCTTTCCTCTTTCCAGAATTATAGTCTGGTCACCCCTCCTATACTTCCTATCTGGCTACTGGCCAATCAGTCTTTTATTAAACCTATACGAGTGACAAATCTTTACAGTCTTTCCAAGAGCATTATCCCACAGCATTTTGGATACTTTATGACAGATGAGTACATTAGAGAAAGCACAGACCTGCAAGCTAGATGTGCATCCCTAGAAATGCCAGGGAGGACCTATGTAGAACATGGTGATAGCGAGACTCCAACAAAACAACAAAACTTAAACACCTTCCAGATACTGGTGGTGGTTCCTGTTGTTCCTCCTCTCCACTCCTTTTATCTTCTACCCCTTTATCCCACTCACTTCCTCTTCCTCTCTTCCTCCCCTTCTTCCTTCGTTTTGATGTGAACAGCATGGTGTTACTACACCTGTCCTGGGGTCTTCTCTCTGTTTCCTGAGCTTTGGGATTGTAAGTCTCCTGCCTCGTCTGTCTGGCATTGCCTGGGTATTGGCGATGCAAACTGGTCCTTACCCTGTAGGACCAGTGCTTTACCCACTCACTGAGCCTCGTCATTGTTGACTGTGAAAGGAAGCAAGTACTTCCTAAATGCTTAGGTTAAAGAGGTTTCCTGATACAAATTGCTCACTTATTTAAAATACTGATTTGGGGGCTGGTGAGATGACTCAGCAGGTTTAGGTATTTGCCACCAAGCCTAACAACCTGAGTTCAGTCCCTGGGACCTACATGGTAGAAGGAGAGAACTGTCTCTCCCAAGAGGTAATCTCTGACTTCTACATAGATGCCATGACACATGTACCATCTCAAATAAAAATGTAATAAAGATACTTCTTTGTTTTTGTTTTTTGAGACAGAGTTTCCCTGTATAACAGTCCTAGCTGTCCTGGAAGTAGCTCTTGTAGACCGGGCTGGCCTTGAACTCACAGAGATTCACCTGCCTCTGTCTCCTGAGTGCTGAGATTAAAGGTGTGTACCACCACTGCCCAGTTTTTTTAAGAATTAAAAACTGGCTATTTTGTTTTGAGATTCAGTGCTGCTATTAGGTAGCCCAGGCTGGCCCCAAAGTTGAAATCTTCGCATCTCTGAGTGCTGGGCAACTCTACTTCCCCAAGTTCTGGCACCTGTTTTCCTCCACCAAAGGAGCTATTCCTCATCAATGTCAGAAGGGACAACAGCTGTTTGTCTGTGGTGCCTGCTAGCATACCAAAACAATGCTGGCCTCCAGGCTCACTCAGTGTCTGTGACTCTAATTAGGTCTTCTCACCTGGCACCTCTACCCTAAATTTCTCCAGCTCATGGACTTCCCTTGTCCCAGCTTCTCCTTCCCATATAATCCGACCATTTCTGCCATGCATTCTGTTTTGTCTTCCTTTTCTCCTATCCCTCTCTTTCTCCTCTCAAGGTCAAGTCCAGTCTGCTCGCCATATTCAGTTTATTTTTTCTCTCCTGACTCTGGACTATTCCAGATGCCTCTTTCTTCCCTCATATCTGTAAGAACCTTCCCCTCAACCACCCCTCGAAGCGAGTCACATCCTCATTTTGTTTTGTTGTTGTTTGTTTTTCTAGACAGGGTTTTTCTTTAGCTTAGGAGCCTGTCCTGGAACTCATTCTGTAGACCAGGCTGGCCTCGAACTCACAGAGATCTGCCTGCCTCTGCCCCC